CTGAAAGCCAGAATTAAGGCAAAGGGGCGGTGTGAACTGACCTTAAGAAATGGGAGTATGTAGATTGGCGGTGAGTGTGGGCAGATGTGATCACCAGCTTTTTGCTGGTATAATCCTGTTTTGCTTCACTCTGACCAGAACCTACAAGTGTTCTGGCTAAAGTCAGCTTCTAATAATTGCATGGTGCTGGCCTCATCTCCTTTGCTGCTTTGATTGGTTAGGTGTCCCTTTCTTTCTCTGTCCTAACTATGGAATGCATTGCTTTGTTCTAGAAACAGTTCTTTGCTCCATCCCTGGGAGGTGTATGTTTGTGCTGAGTGGGTGTTTCTGATCCTGCTCCTCATGTGCTTTAGCTGAGCTGTGTGGGCATTAATTTGCAAAATTTGGTGTTATCCTCAGATTTTTTTAAAAACATAGAATGTCATCACTCACTATTAACAACTCCTATGGGACACCAGGCATTTAGAACTTAGGGCAATTTCAAGGCTTTAAGGGGAAAGAAGTGACTGAGAAGTTTGTGAATGGGGCCAGATCCACAGCCTTCAAAATGAAAGTCTGGGCTGAACTGTGGAACCAGGTATACTATGAACAGCAACTCTCAAACCCTTTGGACTCAGGATCCCTTTACATTAGTAACATTTATCGAAGACCCCCAAGGGCTTTTGTTTATGTGGAGTATAGCTATTGATACTTAAGACATTAAAGCTGAGAAATTTTAAGAATATTTATTAATCCTTTTGAAAAGAATAATAAATCTATTATATGTTAATATAAATAATATCTTTTGTGAAAATACCTATATTTTCCAAGCCAAAAAAATATTGTTGAGTAAGGTGGCACTTTCTTACATTTTTGCAAATCTTTTTCATGTTTATCTGAATAGAAGAGAGCTGGATCCCGATACCAGCTTCTGCATTCAGTCTTTTGAAAGATGTTGTTTTGGTTGAAGTACAGGAATAAAATTCAGCCTCACATGGATAAGTAGTTGGTAAAGGAGAAATATATTAGTAGCTTCTTCAGATACCTGTACATCTTCTTTGATATTATAACAAAACTTGACAAGTGGTAATTTTTTTTTTTTTGTAATTTATTAAAGGTTAGAAGTGGTAAGAAATCTGAAACCATATCAGTGAAAATTTCAGTACTCTACTTTTTTCAAATCCAATGGCCATCTTGCACTTCAATTAAAAGTTTTTACTCATGTATGATTTTGTAGCATTGTATTTAGTCATTTGGGAAATATTGGGTCACTGAATTATTCAAATATTCCAAATGTTGACATACTTCATTTTACCATATGAAAAAATAACACTTGTTAATATGCTAATATCAGCACCAATGTCATCAGAAAGGTTTGATGTATCTGGAAGCTGCCAAGCTCACAGTGGCAGACACAAGTTTTCCAAAATTCTGATTTTAACTTGAAAGCTTGATTTCTATCCTTGGCAACAAACACAACAAATCCTGCCAGTTGTTTTCCTTGAAAACACAGTCTCATTTCATTCATTATTTGAGAAAACGCCTGCCAAATATCTAAGTCCAAATAATTCTTTCAAGTAAAAATGGTGTCTGGGGGAAAGGAGTGTCTAGTTCAGCTTGCAACCTCGTCACACACGTGCTTTCCCTCAAGACAGCAGTCTCACCTCCACCGGCTGCAAGGCCTTGCTGGGTACTTCCCATCTCCTGACCCAGAAAATGAAAAAGGAAAGCTGTGCACTCGAAGGTCCGGGTTTAATAACATTAATCATTTCACTGCTTCTTTTTAAGTGAAACTGGCTTTTTTAAAACTATATATGACACACCTTTCATTCGTACTGAGACAAAAGCAGTTTCACCCACCATTGCTCTTACTCCATCAGTGTAAATATCAGCAAAGTAAAAAAAAAAAAGCAAATAACATGTCAGTATTCTTATCAATATAGTTGTGGCCTTATAGACCCCCCAAAGGATCTCAGGGTGCTTCCAAATTCTCAGATTATAGTTTGAGAACTGCTACAGTGGACAAAGCAGGACACTCAGCATAAGGCCACCTCAGCCTCAGCTGCAGGGACAAGGGGGGGTTGGGGAAGACAGCAATCCCCTTAAACCCACTGGGACTCTGAGTGGGGGATGGTACCCGAGCATATGTGAACTCAACTTTCCAGTTGGCTTAAAGTCTTCCAGTCTTTTTTTTTTTTTCATTTATATGTGACTTGAAATGTTTAATGTCACATTCAGAGTTTGGGCTTAGTGCCCTAAACAAAGTCCTGTAAACTGTGCACACCGATTGGCCAGAATTACAATTGGTGTTTTCATTCTAGGGCTTGGAGAAGGGTCCTCAAACTCCCTTCCCATGTGTGAGAAAAACCTCTTCTTACATTTCTCCCACTTTCTACTATTTCTCAAGACAAATTGTTAGTCTCTAAGGACACTTGTTGTCCATGGCAAAGTATCCAATTCAAACATTGCATCCCTGTCTCCTTTGTCAAGTTCTGCATTTTGTCTGATGGTTTTTTTCTTCTGCTTCTTTACTTCTTTCCCTTCTGGAGCTGGAAGCCAGGCGGTGAGAGGATGACAGGTTTTAAAAGGTCATTTTTGAATGAATTGAACGTGTGTAGTCCTTGCACAGTGGTGTGTGTTTGTGTGTTTGAGCGAAGGGGGTGGGATAAAGGATGGAGAGCTCCTGCTGCCAGACCTGTTGGAAAGCTCTGTGCCACTCAAGTCTGGGCTTTTCCTTACAAATTCCCTGAATCGATAATAAACTGTGGCAGAAGAAATGCAGGCCTCTCCTGCACCTTCAAGTCTCCAGAAAGGAAGGTCACTTTATAAGTAAAAGAAAATGGAAACCGCCTACTCTGTCTCCCTTCTCTTTATTAGGAAATGATTTTCAATGTAGTTTATATAAGGGACCATTAATACTAATTTCCTTTTTCCTGAAGGAAGAAGTAAATAAGATAAAGAAAGGAATAGCCGGTAATGTTGATTGGGTTCCAGGGAATGTTATCAGCATCTTAATCGTCAAGAGTTTTCAGTTGCCGGTGTGGCTGGTTAGTTAAACTCCACACAGTGAGTGTGACTGTCCCTCCCAGGTCACTACTGTCCACAGAAGTTGGTTTATATGATAGCGCGTTCCAGAAAGCCCTGCTCACTCTCTTCACACACCCTTGCTGGGCTTGAGAAGTGAGCAAAGTTTGGCTGCTTAGACCCTCTAGGAAATGTCTGTATTTAAAAGAGCCTGGTGCACGCTCTGTGGGAGAAAGCCAGCGTTTGACACCGTATTTCTTTCGTTTTCCTGTCCTTCTGTGCGCATATCAGTTTTCTCATGATTTAAAACAAATGCACAGAAACCAAAGAGTTGGTGCAGAACAATCGTAGGCTTCCAGTGTTCAGCATGCCCAGCAATCATTGAAATAACCCTGAGTTATTACCAAGAAAACCTTCCACACTGACTCAGAGCCACAGGAGCAGGAGGTGGCTTGCTGGTTGCTCTGCAGATCATGGAGTCAGGACTGCCTTGCTGCAGACACTAGATTTTTGTTTAAAAACCTATTTCTTGTTGAGTTGCTCTTTCTCTCTCTCTCTCTCTCTCTCTCTCTCTCTCTCTCTCTCTCTCTCTCTCAGTAATTACAGGCTGCAGAATGAAAAGCATTAAAGCTGTTTATAAAACAGCTCATAAAGTTTAAAATAATAGGGTTGTGCGTGTTTATGTAAACAAAATGCTGTGTGTGGCTGGGGTAAACAGTACACAGGCTTTCCTCTTTCTCGGCCCATGCCACCCTCCAGAATTTAAGGCATGGAAGTGAGTGAGCGATGGAAGCCCCTCCTTCCTGCTGCATGATCCTCACACTTAATTCATTATGTTTATTTATCTGATGCCAGTTTATTGCTGCAGATCAAAATACAGACCCTCAGGTGTGTGGGGACAGAGGAGCTGAAGAAGGGAGCTGCCACTTAGTTAATTTTAGGGCAGCCTAAATTCACATACAGACTTTGCACCATTACATCCGAGAAACAGATTTTTTTTTTTAATGAGCCCTTTGCCATCTCTCAGAAGTCCAAGAGAAAAGCTCCAGGTTAGTGTTCCAAAGCGAAAGGGGCATTTCCAGCCCTTTCAGACTCTCTCCTCTTGTGCACACTGGCAAAGCTTTTGCAGTGCTCCCTCTGGATTTTATTTATTTTCTAACGTGGGAGAGTAGCCTCTAACCCCCAACCTTGGAGCCAATCAATCATTTCGCTTTGCAGGTTTAGATCTGCGGCAGCAAAGCACAACCTCTGTGCTGGCGGCGCTGCACCCGGTCCTGATAATAGTGAGGCTGGTGCTGACAGTCAAAGGAGGGCTCTGTCCCCCGAGGCGCCAGTGCCCTGAGGACGCGGGCTGGACAGAGGGACCGGCCTCGCTCCGAGGAAGCGCCTCTTCCCCTGGTGATTGATGGAGGACAGTTAGGAGGTTTTCAGAGGCTGGGAAAAATTGCCCTCCTTTCTATGAGGTCTTTGTCAGCAGAAAGAACTCTCCTGGGTAGTGAGTGACATAATGCAGATGACAAATGACAGCTTTGCTTTGCATTCTACTCCATAAGTACTCAATATCTTATGCAGGTGAGTTCGCGCTCCTCCAACACGCCCCCTCGTGCCAGACAGCCCCCCAGATGTGCTCTGCAGGTGCACTGTGGTTGCGCAGGCACCGCTGGCTCTTCCTGACCCGGCCATTAGTTTTTTGGGGGATGTTTCAAGTACAATTAGGGTGTGAGTGGGGATGATACTTTTAGCACTGTTTATGGAGCTGATTATGGAATGAAGAAATTTAAGTCATTTGTTAGCAGTTCTGAATGTTAATTCTGTTCCTCCCTTTTGGAGTGCAGATGAAAAAAATATGCATATATATATATATATATTACATATGGATATATGTGTATAATATGTATATATTATATTATGCTGTTTTAAGAGACTAATTCAGACCAAAAATCTGTTTCAAAATCCTTGACCGCTGTTTTCTCTGTATCTTTTTCTCCCCCTTCCAGGACCCCATCTACAGATGTTCTGAACGCCTCTGAGTAGAGAAATTGAGTTTTCAACCAGGATACCCAATTCAAGGTATTAGCTCTTGTCAGAAAGCTTTTGCATTCGAGCCCTGTGTTGGAAGTGATAGTTTGGCAATGAACTGAAATAGGAAAAGTTGGAAGGAGAATAAAGGACAGTTTGCAAAATTATTAAGTGCTTAATGGAAAACGACGCAGCGCCTGCGAGGGTTTGCCGCTTCTGACTCATGTGCAGCCCTTTCCCCGCCAGCCCATGTGCCGGGTCTCACTTAGCTGAGGCCCGTTTTCTGCAACTGTGTTTGGGATTTGGATTTCATTTCAGTCTCTCCCTCTTGCTTTCTCTCTGACTGCTCAGACCTGCAGAAACCAGGAGGCTGAGACCTTTTGTCGATTTTGCTACGGTGGAGCAAACATAATGAAGTATTCCTGCTGGGCTCTGGTTCTGGCTGTCCTGGGCGCAGAACTGCTGGGGACTGTCAGATCCACTGTGAGATCCCCGAGGTTCAGAGGACGGATACCACAGGAACGCAAAAACATCCGACCCAACATTATTCTTGTGCTCACCGATGACCAAGATGTGGAGCTGGGTAAGACCCCTGATTTTCTGATTGTTAGTCTTCAAGTGATTTGATGACCTGTCTCATGATCAGTAACCGTCAGCGAACATTTGGGGTTTTGGCACTGAATTATACCATCTTAACCAACGACCTGATTTATAAAATGAACTTGTATTGAGTAGAAGAAGGCATTTGGTTTGTGTTTCAACATTACTTTTTCTGGTCTTAAACTTTTGAAACAGCCTGGAGAGGGGTCTCAGAGAACAGGATGGAGGAAGGGAGGAAGCCCAGATTAAATATTATAGAAGTCAAGGATTTGATGGTAGTTCTTGGAAACTCTTGGTCAAAAATGTTAAAAAAACATTTGGGCAAAGTTGTTTCAAAGAGTATGAGGTTATACTGGAATTCTATGCAATATATATGAGCAAAGATATATACTAGAGGAACTTTCAATGGTTTATTAGTATTAAGTGAATGATTTATTCACAGCTTGTAATAATTGTTAGGTAATTGAAATTTACAGTATTCTACATATCTTCCAGTAGTAATTCACTGCTGCCACCTTATATGTGATGCTTTTCTGAAGACTTAGCTCATCTGGCTTAACTCTTGAGCACTTAGAGAACCTGCCAAAATCTGGTGTTTCCAGCTTAGCTTCTGATCATCTGATTGGGTTTCTCATCTTACCTTCCAAATTGGCCCAGCCCCGTGGTCTTGTCTGTAAGCCTAGAGTTAAGTTCTTCCAGGTTACCCCTTATTTCCAAATTCCTCAAGCATCATTCAGCTAAGCTTATCTGTCCGTCACACTCAAGTCGACGTCACTAGTATCTTTTAGACTTGGCACTGGCAGAGCCTTCTTTACAAAATTCCTCTGGCTTAGGGTTCTTGAAGCTAAAACTCTCCGTGCTGGAACTTGATCTACATGGAAGAGAACTTCGATTTCCAATTTGAAACCAAACCATGGAATTCTATCAAAGTACCTCCTTGGGTTCAGCGGAAGCAAATGCAGCAGCCAGCAGGGGTAATGATTGTTGAGGTTGAGCCACAGAGTCTGCTCTTTCTCACTTCACTTTTGAAACGAGAGTATAGATTTTCAGGCAATAGGCCATCGTGAAACATCTTGCAGATATGACTTTAGTATGTGGCTGGTGGTTTCAGGTTTTAATCACTTACAGAGCAAGTAAAATGATGTGAACACGTTTGAATTTGCCTTGCTTAACATCTCTCATGTCCATCCTTTTTGCTAAAGCCAAGATCTATAGACCTTCCTTCCCAGCTTTTTCTCTCTTCTCTGCAAGCAAATGAGCTCTGGACCACCTGGCTCCTGCCTGTGTCTGTGAGGCTACTTTCCTTCCCCTGGTTTATTTCATTTAGCATAATGTCCTTCCTCAAGATTTATCCATATTGTAGTATATATCAGAATTTACTTCCTTCTGAAGAATGCATATAATTCAAGTGTGTATATAGACCACATTTTGTTTGTCCATTCATCTGTTAATAGAAATTTGAGTTGCTTCCACTTTTTGACTATTGAGAACAATACTACTATGAACACAGGTATGTACATATCTCTTTGAGACCCTGTTTTCAATGCTATGGAGTGTATACCCAGAAATGGAGTTGATAATTTGATAATTTTATTTGAGAAACTGCCATAGTGTTTTCCATAATAACTTCACCATTTTACTTTCCCATCAATGGTGCACAAGGGTATCTATTTCTCCACATCCTTGCTAATATTTGTTATTTTCTGTTTTTTTATAGTAGCCAGCCTAATGGGTATGAGGTGGTGTCTCACTGTGGTTTTGATATGGCTGGATTTGGTTTTGTTTTGTTTACTTACATATAATTATGTTCAAGTGCTTGAATAAATCTTCACCAAAACAAAACTTTTTGCACCTGTAGTACTCCAGACAATTGTAGCTACTGTGCCTCCAGAAATATATAATGGACTTAGAAAAGGCTTAAAAAAGCAATTTGGAAAATTGTAATAGAATACTTTTCTTTTGGGGAGGGAAATAAAATAACTCTACTTCTGGAAAGACAAAGGCTGAGAAGGGTTTTAATCAAAGTTTATGAAATCAAGCTGGGAAGGAATGCTCTCATACAGGGAGAATGGGGGCCACTCCTTCAATTCTGTCTGAGAACAAATAAAATAAACTACTACCTGGTCAAGGGAGTAAGACATATAAGGAATTCATTAATAAAAGTGCTAGAACCTTGCATGTGGGCAAGGCTTTATCTTTTCCAAAGAACATTTGTTCTCATTATTGCATTTAATTGCCCTCCCACCCAAGTTGGGTAGGTGAAACAAAGATCATTATTCCCGGAGAAAACTTAATTATGTGAAGAGATTAAATGAGGTCAGTGGTCCTGTTATTTCTGGATTTATTTTTTTCTACAACTTAAGAAGTTGCTCAGGTTGTGCCTACACCTATAAATAGTTTAGGTTTTTAGACTAAGCTAACAGATGGAAGATTAACACTTTCTAAGCTAGGAAAACATTCATGGACAGGATCAACAGGAAGTTTGGGATGATGGTACCTCTGGGAAAGGAGTGGTAACCAAGAACATTGACAGTATCCACCTTTTATTTTAAAATTTAAAAATATATCTGAAGCGATTATGATGTTAAGTTTTGATAAAGCTGGGAGACCTGTTGTTTATACTATTATATCCCTGTATTTGAGATATTTTATGAATCAAAAACAAGAAAATCATAAATGCTATGGGACTACCCAAACTTTCAAGGACTAGAATCAAAGAGATTAGAGTCTAAATCTTTCCCAATGCTTCCTTGGTGCCACTCTGAGAAATAAAATATTGAACTGATTGGACCATTGATCTGACTCACTGTGGCATTCCTTATATTCTTATGAAATTGGGCTATGCTAACATCTTAGTAATAATGCTGACCCCACCAATGCTTCTCTTTGATCATAGTGGAATTGAGAAACCATAAATACATGGAAATACCTTGTTTCTTTACAGCAGAGGTCACAAATGGGATCTATAGTGCAGAGCTAGCCCATAGCTGTTTTTTACTTGACCAGCATACTTTTTAAGATCAAGGCAACATTTTAAAAATCAGGTGATTGCATATTTTTTTAAAAATCTAGATTTCTACTTTTCTTAAATTCAGAAGAATGAGGGTTTGCATTCCTATGAGGCAGCCATCCATTAGATGCCCCCTTAAGTGGATCATGTCTTGCCCTGGTCATCATGGTCCCAACTCTCCATGACTCCCAACACTTAGACCAAGGAGTAGTTGGCGTTTATCATTCTGCCCATACTGTGGTTTTCCAAGCCAGGGAAGAGTTCTGTCCACCCATCTCTCTATTGAATGTGAAAAGACAATTCCTCATGATTTTCTTCTATCTGCAGGGGTTCTTTCTCTGTCCTACCTTCTCTGTCCAGCTCTGTAGACCTTTAATTTCCAACTCCTTAAGAAACTAACTTCTACTTTTAATGGCCTTTTGCTCTTTGGGGCT